TGGAATGATGTCTTTAACATTTACCACTAACTCCATTACACCAAAACTCTCTAGCTGCCCGTACAGTATGCAGCGATGCAAGGGATGACTTGGTTGTTATAATATAATGTAAATAAAACTCGGAATGAAAAATATATTAAAACAAGCTTTTCTTTTAGATAACACACATTCCGGATGTGGTTGATAAGGAATGTTGAAATATATTTGTATAAATAATGATATTTATACAAAATGATGAACAACTTTCCATTTGTACCTGCTGACCACACTGGCTCCATTCAGTTTCTTCTTGTCCCCCTCAGGACAAACTGCAGTTACAGCAGCACCTGGGACGACAAAAACAAACATGATTACATGTAAAACACATACATGATTACCATATGTTTGTTTACTAAAACTGCAGCAAACTCCTGAGTATTACTTTTGGCTTTTGATTTGCGAGTTTGTTTGTGTTTAACCACAACACTTATTACCACAGTGCTATTTATTTTATTAGTGTTGTAGCCGATATGTGAAAGAGATCAAGGGTCGCTCACCAGCCACGTGGCTCAAACTGCTGATGATTAGAGATCTGATGTCGTCAGAGTGGACTGATAGTAAGATGAGAATCTAAAGGTGGACAAACAGGAGCATAAGTGTTTCACAACTAAACATTAAGACGCGATGGCTGCTGGTTAAACGGTTAATACTTTCTCCACGGTGTTCTGTCCTTGTCTGCCCTGCAGCTGAGCGGCCAGCAGCTGCTGCAGCTTCAGCAGTTTGAGGTCGGACTCCTGGTTCTTGAGACTGAGGAAGAGGATGATCTGCAGCCTCTTCACCAGCTGCTGCAGACTCTGATCCGCACACGCTTCCGCTGCCTTCGTCAGGTAATCTTTAGTGGATTAAGAGAAGGCCGTCAAACGTCACAACGTCATAAATACCATGTTACAATCAGGGAATTGTTTGAACACACACTAATGGATCACAAACATGAACAAACATTTTGAAGTTACAGAAGTGAAAACAGTTTGGGGTTATTTACGTGACAGTGCGGTTTTTAACCCATGATTTTCCTATTTCTTTGTGTTGGAAGAGTCTCAGTTGGAAAAAGTATTTTTGTGCCCCAATCTTCAGCAACATTTAAACCAAAAATACGTTTAGCTGTTTGCTTTTGATATCAGCACTGTCAAACAAATCGAATAAAACCTCATCCACCGTCATGTGGATACACATTTCGCCAAGTTTAAAAATGAAATAAACAATACAAAAGAATGTGTGTTCAGTATGTAGTATAGTATATATTTAAATCTTAACTATAAAATATAACTCCCCTAGGACCAAGTTTTGAAGTGAGTTAAACTGACCCGATGCAGTCTTAAGGTCACACTTCAGCAGCAGCTCCTTGAATGTCACCAGCACGTGAATCACAGCCGCCTGGTTGAACAGTACTTCCTGATCTGTGTGCAACACAAGGCCAGCAGAGGGATTTTACACCTTTTCTTACACTGAATGAATCTATCAGTACTAGAAAACACACACAAATAGCTTTGTACAATCGTGTTTCTGGATAATGAAATGACATGTTGTACCTCTGACCGTCTCTGTGCTCTGTGCATGTTTCCTGCAGAGCGCCTTCTCCTGCTGTTTGAGGATGAAGTGTGTTTGGTCCGGGGCCAGGCAGCTGAAGTCCCCCGGCCCCGGGAAGTTAAGCCCCAGCTGCCTGGCAGAGATCAAACACGGCTCAGCGAAGGCCAGCAGCTCACAGTGGGCGTGCCGCTGACTGGCTGTGTGGGAGGATAAGGGGTTAAAAAAAACGAACTTCAAACACCTTCTGAAACGTCTTTTCCATGCTGTTCTTAAGAGACATGTTTTGGTGTATATTTTGGTGTCATACCGTTGGCTTGGACCAGTATGACTCTGTGTTCCTGTCTGCCTTCAGGGCTGGACTGAGGGATGTTTTGACCCGTCGCCTGAACCGCTGCTCTCTGCTCTCTGGTAGCGTTTCCTGACACCGCTCCACTCAAATACCTCTGATCTGGTGTTTGCCTCGGAGGATGTGGAGGAGGCTGATGATGCTCAGATGGTGCTTTTTGTTGGTCCACCATTAGTGCTGATAGAAAGAGGATGAGATGTCAGTGTGAGTCATTAGACCATGAGTACATAAGGTTAGTATATATATAAACGTACCAATTTTGTTCCTGATTAATCTATCGTTTTATAAAATGTCAGGAGATGGAGAGAACCAAATCATTCCCATAACCAACAGTGAAGGGTACAAATAAATCACTGATTCATTAACTATCAAAACGGTACATTATTTAAACTCTATGGATCAATTACTTGATTTATTATTTAATGGTTCAAGCTCTGTATGCTGTTCATAATAGTGTTCAGAAATAACCATAGAAACATGTACACAAAGTTACTACATGGAGAGTTTTATAAACCAGGTGAACACTAGATGGAGACAGTTTTTGAACTGAAATAGATCCTACATAAAGTAATTTAATAATAATAATAATAATGATGTATCTACAAATAGCAAATATTGATGTCATGTGCTACTCCAAAGTCAATATGTCCAAGTAATGTTTTATTTTATATTAAACTAAGACTACCTTCAACTTGCACAAAATGCACACGTTTTTGAGGCATGTATGCAAAATTATGAAGCAAGAAAATATATGAATAATTACAGCTGCAAAAACAAAAAGGAGGTAAATGAAAATGATCTTGAAGCTTTTTGAGAGGAGACGCTAATAAAAACATTATCTTTCGTCATTTCAACCAAACGATACCACGGTGTACCTGGAGATGAGCTCTGACGCGTTGCAGTCACCGAAGCTCTCTGCTGAGACCTCAGGATCATGAAGGTGGACAGACAGTCCATCTCCTTCTCCCCTGGATGTCCAAGGGTCAAAGCGCTCTGCTCCGCCTTACTGTATCCTCTACTGGTGTTGATGTCCGTCTCACGAGGGGAAAACATGGCTGCAACTTCTAAAAACCTCTTTTCTGAAACGTCATCTTTAGTGTTGGTGTTGGCAGCAGGTTCTGAAAATATTACCGCTGCAGGTTTGACTTCCTTATTGTTTGTGTTGTGCATCAGGAAGGCGTTCTGAGACGTGTCGGCAACAGTTTCTCTATGGAGATGAGAGTCCTCCGCAGGAGCTTCAGCAAGAAAAGCAGCAGGTTCGCATTTCTTCCGCTGAGGGAACTGAGGTTTGTCCGTTGGATTCATCGTTACGGATCCAACTGTGAATGAGACCAGAGCAGGTGAGGTGATGTCAGAAATCTGCTGCAACTGTGTTAAACTCTCATCCTCTAAATAAAACTGTTGATTCAGTTTACAAAACAGGAAGGAAATAGTGAAACATGTTCATGATATTTTGTATCCATCACCAAAGAAAAGCAAATAAATCCATTTGACTTTCCTAGAAAAGGTCAAACATCCCCATGTATTAAACTGTAATCTGCATGGGTCAGCAAGTTTACGTAAACTAATAAAATAATTAATCAACAAATCAATAATCAAAAAGATCAATTCATGTTATATCCAAAGACTTAATATTGAATCCACTGTTTTAACTCAGAAAAGTTATCATACATACAATTCCCCCTCTAATACACTAAAACAGAAGATTTAATAAAAGGTACAGACTACTCACTCTCCATATGTTCAGGTGACAGTTTTTTGAATTCCTCCATCTTCTCCTCTGTGGTGGGGGGTACCTCGGAGGTCATGCTCTCTGTGAACTGGCTGCTGTTGCACAGATCCACCTGCGGGGGTCCCGTCTCCCTGTGGGACTGCAGATCCTCTGACTTTATGACTCTCCGGGCTTCAGACAGCGGCTGAAACTCCACGACTGGTTCATTTATCTGAGGCTCTGTAAGAAAATACAGCAGATTCGATGTTGAAAAACCTACTTTGTGGATTTAAGTGTAGTGCGTGTCTCTATAAACGGCCCAGGAGACAGATTTAGATCAAACTTGGGATACCAAAGTGCATTTTTTACATGTCTACAATTCGTGATTGAACCACAGCGAAATGCTTTAAAAAGTTGATACTGTGGTTAATGAGTTCTTTAAAAGGCCTGCCATAACTTTGGAGGACTCATGAAAGTAAACCAGTCAAAATCAGGGTAGCAGTAGTGACATCCTGAATATAATCCAGTTGGAATAAAAAAGATATATTCTCTGATTCCCAGATAATTTATACTAGCATCATTTGACCGCTCTGTCTTCAAAACTCCTGCCACTAGTTTGTCTCCAATTTGAGACAGAGACACACACACTCACAGAGGACATTATAAAACCTTTTTCAATGGCAAGTTGTGATGAGAGGATTAAGCCTTATGAAGCTTTGGGGCTTTCTTTTTGTGAATACAAATAAAAATGTTAAGCTTCAGGGTTTTTTTTAAAGTGAGGAAACTCAAAGACATTTTGTTGTTTTGATAAACGTAAAGCAGCCGATCAACACAAAGGCCAAAGCACCACGAAATGTTGCTGATTCAGAGTTTCATTCTTATCCGGATGCCTGGGTGTTTTTGTTAAGTCTTCTATATTCTTCTTTAGAAGTGCTGCAGTATCAAACACGTTACTGTGCAATGATGAAGTACAAAATGAATAACTGCATCGACTAAAAAAAACATACAATATTTTTCTATACCTAAAACTATTATTTTAACGTTATCTCATTCAACTGCAGTATGTACTATAATATATTTAGATTCTATATATTTATGCAGGCATATTCAGAGGGTATATGCAGGAATCCTGAAGTCAACTGTAAGACCTTTTGAGACCTTTTTTAAGACCCTTCCATACATTTTAAGACCTCATCGCCACTTTGAGTTCTAACGGGTTACCTTGGCGACACACTTTACCTCACATTGACTATAATACAGTATTGATTGTCCTTCCTTCTTATCTTCCAACCATTTGGACGCAAACTTGCATTGCCCCATAACGACGTTGTTTAACAACCGGCGTAAGCGGACCTTCGCGCGCTATCAAGCCGTGAGCGTGCGATGTCCTGTTCAGATGACGTCAGATCCAACGGGATGCCATAAATAAACTACACAGAATCACACTACACACCTACGCAATGATTACATTCAGGCAGACTGTAGAATACAACCTCTTTGGACCATTTATACACTTATTGAAAACAAGCTACAAAATGTAATACCTTGGAAAATGCCGTTTAATACTTTTGAATAGCCTTAATTTTCGCTAAATTGATTTATGAACTTTTGATACTTTTGAAGACCCCGCAGACATATATTATTTTTTCTTTATTTTATATATTTCTGTATTTGTTTTGTACTTTGTCTGTATGTTTTTCCATCCTGGTGCTGCTGCACAAACACATGAAATGTTTGATATTTATGTCATTTAATATTCGTTCAATGTAGTGTTTTCAAACTAATGTTCAGACTAATATTACTTTTATCACCTTATTTCTTGTCTACGTCGCCATATTTCTTATTTATTTTCAGTATTTAACAACTCATGTATACAAAATGCTGAGCACCTCTTTAGCTATCAAACCTTCACCTGCCAACAGAAAGCCCATCACCCAGGACGGATGCTTCTCCGCCGTCCAAAGAGCCGCCTCCATCTCTGTCTGAGCCCTCGCTGACACCAAAGACCTACAGGACAATCATAGATGTTACAAGAGCTTTTGCACATGATGAGTGATTATATCCGCTATAATCTCTCCAAATGATTTAAAAGATAATGTTTGAACCCCTGTATGTGTTGAAAGAGAATTTGATATTTAAACTAAGGCTGTGAATATCCTTCGTATGTATGTTCACTGAAATTTCAATAAAACCTCATCAGGTTGTATAAGCAGTTGGACAGTGGCGAGCCGTCAGGGCCCTCCTAAGATATTCTAACAAATTATATTTAAAAACATAAACAATTTAATATTTTTTTTTAGTTATATTTTTCATTAGTTTTACCAAAATAACTTGATTTAATTGTATTTAAAATAACATTTCCAAAGAAATAAATCCTTCCTATCTGCCTATTCAGTTTCTGTTGGAATGTGAAGGGTTAAATGAAAGAAGCTCCTTTAGGCCTCTCTGCGAGTTACTGAGAAGACAGGAGCTGATTGGATGTCCAGCTATGAATTCACAGAGGACCCAGCTATAGTAACTCAACGAGAGAGTAATGTCAAATGACAGTACAATTGACCAATCATATCTTCCCTCTAAATGGTTGGGCTTTATTATCGCCGACTTTATGACCGTTCCGCCCCTCTGTGAAGTTTATGCATGTGTTATAATAACAACGGGTCAAGCTAGGCGGAAGTAGCTAATTAGCATGCATCATCCACGCATTTGTCACTTCAAGACTGGACTACTGCAACAGCATCCTGTATGGTTCATCATCCAAAATCCTAAATAAACTACAATACATCCAGAACTGCGCTGCCCGCCTCCTCACCCACACCCGCTCCAGAGACCACATCACCCCCGTCCTTCAAAACCTGCACTGGCTCCCTGTTCGTTAACGAATACACTTCAAAATCCTTCTGCTAACACACAAAGCTCTCAATAACCAGGCTCCCCCCTACCTCTCCGACCTGATCCACCACTACACCCCTTCCCGCAGCCTTCGCTCATCAGAAGCAAACCTCCTCTCTATCCCCAAGAAAACCAAGCTCCGAACCTGGGGGGATAGAGCCTTCTCCATCGCTGCCCCCACCCTCTGGAACTCCCTCCCACAACACATCAGAGACTGCACTGACCCCCCCACTTTCAAAACACTGACCAAAACACACCTCTTCAGACTGGCTTTTAATCTGTGAATTATGCTGTATTGCTGTTTTAATAACTTTTAAGTGTTATTTTATCTTGTTTTAATAACTTTTAAATTCTATTTTATCATGTTTTATCACCACTGTAAAGCGTCTTTGAGCACCTGGAAAAGCGCTTTGAAATGCAATGTATTATTATTATTATTATTATGATGGCTCACGTCAGTAATAGTGATGACATCGTTGTGAAATTATTAACCGAGTCATTTTCAAGATTGAGTTACAAAAAAGCAAAGGATCAGCTGCATGACCCGCCATCAAGTGCTTCATCCAAAAGGACAGGAGGATGGACTTTGTGTTTAAGTGATTTGATCATCAAAGGTAGGCCTAAGTCATTTTCCGTGCCGACTTAATTCATTTGTAATTGTTACTTGGCTGTGGGTGCCCTGTCATGATAGGTGTTTATATAAATGGTGTTGTTCTGTGTGGTAGAGGGTCGCTGTCATTGATGCGTTTTGCACCCCGGGCCGTTGTTTTGATATTCCGCTGAAGTCTACGCTGTGACGTAATAACTCTTCTTTTTTTTCGAGGGAAGGGGCAGGGGGGGGTCAGAGGGCCTAGGTGCAAAAGTCACGGCTCGCCACTGCAGTTGGACCACATGGTACGGTCACTCACAGTCTGCCGAGCGCTGACAGCTCTTCCTGCTGCAGGTCACATGTAGACGGACAGATTTTGATTTGACTCGTCTCGGGGGTCAGCGTCAAAGTCACATCCAGCTCCATTTCAGTCGGAAGCAACGCTCGTCCTTAGAGGAATATGAAGTTTAATCACAGGTGTAGGGAAGCTATAAATATACATAAAAAGTGAGTTGTTGCTGTGTCCAAAAAACAATGTATCATTACAGAAGACAGTCATTTTGGTGGGGGCAGTAGTAATAATTTACTCAAGTAGAATTTGAAATACCCCTTTTCTTTTTTAGGCTACTTTACACTTTTCTCCATTGCATTTCAGGGGCAAATACTGTACTTGTTATTCTAAACTACATTCATTTAACAGCCAACGTGGTTTTTCAGATTTAAATTTAACCTACAGAACAAATTGGATGTTTGTACCAGTTTATAAAATAATGCATTATTATAAGCAGATAAAAGTAGCTCCAACCTTAACGACTACCTGCTTGAAGTACTGTTTAAATATGTATTCATTATCGATATTGATCCAAAAATATATAATTGACCGGGCTTTCTGTATAAAGAGTACTTTTGCCTTCAATACTTAAAAGTACTTTTTGTTGCTAAAACTTGTAAGTTGGTAAAATGTTGAATGCAAATCTTTTACTTGTTATGTATTTTTTAATAGTGTGGTATTTCACTTTCACGTAAGTAAATGATTTGACTCAAATCACTGGTGGAGGGTATGTAAGGTGTTAGATTTGAGTAAACCAGCAACTGTAGTAAAGATTTCTGTGCATAACGATCAACAACAAGTTTCCCTTTGTGTTTTCTCTCTGTAACTTTTACCTGCCAACTCCATCAGGCCTCCATCAATGCAGCACTTGTTGCCGGACTCCTCTGGTACTTCATACTTGGAAATGTCCACCGATACTGATGCATCTGAAGGGATAGCTGGGAGAAATGTGACTCCGGTATGTCAGTTTACTTTTCTCTGCTAATGTGCATTTGCATTGATCTTTTTGGACTTGTAAAATGTTAGTTACCGTTATGAAGCATATCCAGAACAGGAGGTTGCTCATGTAGCTGTTCAGGAGCAACGTCCATCTGACCACAAATGCTTAAAAAGGCGGTGCACTTCTCCCAACTCAGATTCAGTGTGTCCAGAACAACCGGCAGCAGTAGAGACTACACAGAAATACATCGAAATGTTGTCATTTCACACTTAATAAGAAAATCATTTGGCTATTTTTTATTTTAGTTACCTCTTCTTCCATTAGCGACTCTTTACCAAACTCCTCTTGAATGTTTGCACATATCGGAACGTCACTGGTGTTTGCACCGGGAGGTTTTTCATAAGACGCACAGTGCCTGAAAAGCAGTGGTGGAAAGTAACTAAGCATATTACTTAAGTACAATTTGAGGTGACAGTATTTTAGTTGAGAATATCAATGTTCTGTTACTTTAAGCTTCTACTCCACTACATTTCAGAAGGAAAATAATATTGCTTTTACTCCACTACATCTATTAATAAATCTTTACAGCTCACACACCGGAATACGGCGTCCTCTGAGAGTTTTTTTCCTGTCGAACAGAGCAGAGGGTCGGCCACAGGGAGCGTCCGCAGCCTGGACATCTTGGCTTTCAGCGTGGGTAAATGTCTCTTAAAGTGCAGCAGGTGATCAACAACCATGAGCTCTTCTGGCAGGAGGAGATCTTTGACAGATAAACATTTTTCTTGCTGAGAAAGAAGATCAAAGTCACAGATATTATTTAACAGCTGATAGGAACCTTGAGTTACCTCTGTTCTCCTTTTCAGGTTTCATCTGGTCGGTTGTCAACTTGTAAAATGATTCCTGAAGTGGATTTTCAATCTGTGACTCTTTTAAAAGGCTTACAATCTCATCCTGGTTTAGATCGTTAATTGAGTCAGGATTAGAGCTTGGTATCATCTCCAAATCCCCTTTCAGTTCACTCAGAGTCACATTAAATCTGGAATATAAATATCAAAATGATGACTCTAACAATAAAACATGATGAGGGTGAAACAATGCACCATGAGACAGTTATGAACCTTTCAGGTGAATTGACTGGATGCTTTTTTCCTCCCAGGTCATCAAGCACAGAACCACTGACAAACAGTTTGCATGTGGAGATCACCTTTCCTGTGAGAGGGGAGAAATGTGTTTATTTTTGATCTCATTTAGGGCAGTTTGAGTTTTTTTTTATCACCTTTTACACATTTTTCATTTCCTTTCATTAATGGTTTGTTCAGCTGGGCCAGAATATATTAAGTTAATAGAGTTCTAAAAGTTCTACAGTAGGTATTTTTGTATTAAATGTATTATTCATATTTTTGTTTCAGCCATTTATGTAATGGGAGTTTATTTAGCTATTTTTTTTTAATGATTATTCATTTTTTATTTTTTTTTCAATAATGTGTATAATCCTATATATTTTTACTGGATATTTTCCTTAGAATTTGAAATCTCTAGGAACATATTTATTACATTGTTTGAAAGAAAAGTAATAATACACCATTGAACGCAGTGCTTATATGACTTTAGTTGGCCATGTATACCTCTGATCCACGGGGTCCGGTAGGAGGCCTCGGGCAGCTCTCCTCTGTCCGGGTACAGATCACCGCTGCCGGGGAGGTAGGGCGGCGGCAGGGCCAGCAGGTTCATCATTACCTTCAGACTGGTGGTGCTCTGAGAGGACATAGCTTTAACGTTTAATGATAATATTCTGAGGTAATAAACAAATAAGTCTATTTCTAGTCAATGACAAAAAACTAACCTCAAATACATAGTCGAGAGCTTTAAATCTGTTAGCAGAGAAGGTTTGCGTCGGAAAAACACTGTCCTTCTCAGACCTGTACAAATCCAAAAACCATGTTGAGGAAAACAATACTTTAATAATCATCTATGTTTTAACAAAACCTAAATGAGATAACTCTAAAATGGTCATTTTAACCAAATTCCTAAATTAGTTGTCATTCACAAAAGCTAACAATCTATTTACTTTAGCTTTGGTTAGCTAAAGTTAGCTTAGCGATCTCTTCTTGATGAGCTAGCAGAGTTTCACGTTATTTAGATAACTTATTATTGTCTATGTCCTTTAACTAATAAAGCAGTATGGTGATCCTAAAACGTAATCATCCCAAATAAAATTAAAATAACCAGTTAATCAGTTTCTGTTATTATAGAACTTACATAATGACTTAGCTTATGTTGGTGTTTGTTGACAGGCGAGTGTTGATCAGTCAAAGATCGTTTATTGAAGATGATCCCATCTCGTCTTCACGGGTGGTGTGTAAATGCCACGCATGCGCTTAGGAGATTTTTGGTTTTTAGGGGAAAGTATTTCAGCTTTTTGGACTTCAATAAATGTAGGCTGGGAGGGGTCAGAGTCCAGGGCCGTTTTTCATTTCTAGTCCATCCCTTCTAGCAGAGATAATGTTTCTGCTAAGCTGCTGTTGAATTATATTTGAAAGTATTTTGTAACGTTGTCTGCACAGCTTACTTCTGAGGTGGAGGCAGACATCTCACAGACGCATGAGCAAATGTAACCAAATCGACAGTAATATCTTCAGTATGATGATTATAGCACTTCACATGTTTTCATAACTTGTGGTCACTTTTATGTTTTATAACTTATGCCCCTTGTAAAATAAAATATGATGACTTTTGTATTGTGCCAAAAACGAGAGAGAGAGAGAGAGAGAGAGAGAGAGAGAGAGAGAGAGAGAGAAGAGAGAGAGAGAGAGAGAGAGAGAGAGAGAGAGAGAGAGAGAGAGAGAGAGAGAGAGAGAGAGAGAGAGAGAGAGAGAGAGAGAGAGGAGAGAGAGAGGAGAGAGAGAGAGAAGTGTCTGCTTTATGCCGATGACCTTGTTCTGCTGTCTCCTACTGAACAAGGACTACAACAACAGCTGGACATAGTAGACCAGTACTGTAAGAACTGGGCCCTGGCAGTCAATATGAAAAAAACTAATGTCATGGTTTTCCAAAAACGCCTCAGATGTCAGGAGAACAAATACCATTTTACCATAAATAATCATATAATCGAACATAGTATGAGTTATCACCTCGGTTTAACCATAACAGCATCAGGAAGTTTCAACATGGCAGTGAATGCACTCAAAGAAAAAGCAAGAAGAGCTCTAAATGCAATTAAGAGAACATTTTATAATGTCCAAATTCCAATTAAAATCTGGCTTAAAATATTTGATAGTGCGATCCAGCCCATTGCGCTGTACGGTAGTGAAGTATGGGGTCTACTCAGTCACCAGAGCTATACCCGCTGGGACAAACATCCAACAGAGTCTTTACATGCAGAATTCTGCAGATACATTTTACGTGTTCAGAGAAAAACACCAACAAATGCATGTAGAGCAGAATTACGCAGATACCCACTGATCATTAACACTCAAAAGAGAGCACTAACATTCTTTAACCACCTTAGATCCAGCCCCCGAGACACCCTCCACTCCAAAGCCCTCCAAAGCCAAGAGCTAAACCCAGGAAAGAGTCCCCTATGTCAGGCTAACTGCCCCCTCTCAGAGCCACTCTGACCAGTCTCTCAACAACACTGCTCTCCAAACACCAATCACAGTCAAACGCATTATATAACACAATGTAAACACAACTATTTACAACATTGGGAAGAAGAAACTAAAAGCCAAAGTAGATTAGAATGTTACCTGGCTCTAAACAGAGATTATGAGCTGGCAGAATATCTCTCTACTGTCAGAGATAGAAAGCAGAGACAGATCCTAACCAAGTACAGGCTCAGTAACCACAAACTGGCAATCGAAACAGGAAGACTCAAAAGATCCTGGCAACCAAAAGAGAACAGAATATGTGGTCACTGTACGACAGGTGAGACTGAGACAGAGATGCACTTCCTCCTGAAGTGTGAAACATTCAACGAAGTAAGGAGCATTTACTGTAACAAGTTGAACTCTGTAATCCCAGGTTTCAAGGAGGTTGATGACCTCTCACAGGGTTCGAGTTATAAACTGAGCTCTATGGGGGTCTTTAAAACTAACGCATGCACCTTATGCGCGGGTGCACGCACGCGCAGGCGCGCACACAGTCACAGATTGCGCAATAATGTATTGCACACCTTGGAGGTGCAGACTCCAAGTCTCATTAAACATGCTGGAGCTCAGTTCTGCAACTTTCTTCGGAAGCACTTCTTTTAGTTTGAGCTCCGCTTTTTCAACAGCTCGTTTATGAGCAATATGTAAAAAATCGCGGTGTATGTAAAAAGATGTCCGCAAATGCTTCTGCACAGGGCTACTCACACAGTACCATTGGTCCAGGCATCAGTGGCGGTTCTAGACCAATTTGACTGGGGGGGCCACTGGGGGGCCAGTTATTTTCTGAGGGGGGCACAATAAATGCAGGACGAAAAAGAGAACTAGACAGTATGAAGTAATTGCGCATAAGAAAACAATGCAATAGTTATTGGTATTTGTTTCAGTACACTTATTTATTTCAGATAGATCTTATAGTTATTACTGTTAGCTTCAGCTTAGGTTATAGTGCAATGTTTGCACTAACACCATATTTATATAAAAATAAAGGCAATGAACAGTTACATCTCTACTTTACATAAGGGTGTCTGCACAATTTCACATTACAGCAACAAAATCCTGTGGTTTTTGGCAAACCGAGTACCAGAAAATATACATTTAAAAAAAAAAAAAAAAAAACGTTTCATTGTTAGGGGTGCCACAGGGGGGTCAGAGGTCAGTGTTAGTGGGGCACTGCCCCCCCCCCCCCCCCCTAGAACCGCCCCTGCCAGGCATCCACCAAATGCGTTCCATATTTTTTCTCCGAAAGTAAGAGAGTCTTGGCTTCCTTACAGACGAGGCATCCAAGACCACCCTCCTTTGAAAACAGCCAGGGGTTTCTTTCTTTCCAGGATCTCCACTGATTGTGTCCCCAGTTAAGTGGTGGTCCTTCTGTAACAGTACCTCCTGCCTCCTCATGCCGCTCCGCTTCGGAACTTTCTACGTGTGTGCAGGTGGTCCCACATTCAACAGCATCAGGTCCGCTAGCAAAGACAGAATCCTCCGTAGCAGCAAGGTTAGTGCTAGCTGCCACGCTAGCAGGTGCATTTTGGTTGTCAAAAGCTGTTTCTTTGTGAGAAAACCAAACTAGCCAGGCTTGTAGACCCCGTCGGCGGCAGTGGCCTTTTTTTGGGCGGCATGGTAATCGTCTGCTAGCCTACGGTACTCGTAGTATGTGTGTATCTTGTCAATATATTTGAATGTGTGTTGATATAACGGTTCATTCTTCGGGCGCGCGTCCCACAGCCTCACAGGCATAGATTGCGCAATATTTTATTGCGCACCTTAGAGGTGAAGTGCAGGCATATTGTCATTCAAGAGAGAAGAATACGATGCGTAGTTCTTTTGGAAAACATTGTTTTGTTTGCCTATTTACCTCGTTAACGTACATAATACTCATTACATTGAAAAATGCATTATTTGTGATGAAAATAATGGTTGTTGGTAATGTATATTAGCGACCCCCACAGATGTTTGATTTCACTGGGTCCGTGGGAGCTCAGGCCCCTCCTTATGGGAGCTCAGCTCCCATTGGCTCCCACGTAACTCGAACCCTGACCTCTCAAGACTGAGAATACTCCTAGGAGAAGGAGACAAGGCACATCTTGCTGCCCAATATGTGCGAGAGATCACTCTGCAATGGAGCTTTGACTCTGAGACTATTAATAATAACTTTTATGACACACTTTTTTATGGCTTTTTAATTACATACTGTGTTGAATTTTTTTAAGGAATAGTAGACCATTGCTTTTTTATGACATACTATGTTATCGTGTTGTGCACTCCTGACCTCTAGTGGCGGAAGTTGTGTATAATTGTATAATGCTCGTTTTAACTTAGGTTAATATTCTGATATTGTACTATTATACTAAGTTTGTCGCTCCTAACACCCTTTACCTTGTCAGGAAGACATTATATGTTGACCTCACTAGATTTTTAAAATACCTAAATATAATTCCAGATGCATGTGCGTGCGTGTGTGGTACTGTCTCAGCAGTGCAGCTCTCCTGCAGGACGCTCACATCTCCCTGCTGTAGGGAGTGTGAGACATCCAGGCCATGATCATCTCCGACACTTCATCAAAAGCAGCGGGGGAGAGACCAGGGGGCTCGGGCAGGAGGGGCAAGGCCGTGGCACTGTCAGGCTGGGGGCCCTCCACAGGCTCCTGGAGGGGTCCTGGATGAACCTTTAGGACACACAGAGAGAGGCTTAGGGTCCGACAGCTGCACCGACACAAAAACATGAAGCATGTTTTAAACTAAACATCAGGAGGACTCACATCCAGCCGGACCTCCTCCAGCATGGCCTGTGGGGGGGTGGAGGTGGGGGGCTATGGGCTGGGGCTACCCTGACGGTCGTCTCTGTGGGGGCTCCTCAGGGCCTCTGCTCTGCCTCCCCTTCCTCTTCCTCCCCCTGGCAGCCTGTTAGAGAGGAACAGAGGGAGAAGTGAAGGAGAAGGTCAGACAAGGTCACTCATCGTCCTCTCAGACTAAATATCACTGCCCTCAGTGATGGAATGCAGTTAAGTACATCTACTCAAGTACTGTACTTAAGTATAATTTTGAAGTTCTTGTACTTTGTATTTTCATTTTATGCTACGTTATACTTCTACTCCAGTACATTTTAGAAGCCAGTATTGAACTATTTATTCCACTTCATTTATCTTTAATTACTTTACAGATTCCAATTATTAGCTGACACGAAATATAAATGAACTGATTATAAACATTGACATATAACTATAGGTTAAAATATCCAACTGCAGCACAAAGGAAATGAGGAGCTTCAACTTAACTAGCTGTGATAGACACACCACTCCATCACGATCCAGTAATTTAATATTATTCTGAAATGAGCTATGCCAATTATTTGTTACTTTTACTTAAGTAATATTTTGAAAGCAGGACATTTACTTGTAACAGAGTATTTTTACAATTGTATATTTCTACTTTTAAGAAATTAGCACTTTTTCTCTCGTCTCCAGAGGAACTGAATGAATAGTTCCATTTCATCCTAAATGGCAGAAAGTGCAAGTTTCTCTTTTGGTGAAGAAATGCTCTGCTGATGCATGCACTTTAGATGTAATTATTTTACACACTGTTTAAAATACAATATAATTGTATGAACTCAAACATGGAATTTAAAGAAAAAATATTTCCCACTTCCACTCCACACTTCTCTTCACACAACCAATTGCACCGCTCTCTCAGCTCGCAGCCACACACATTTACTGTTCACTTATCACGTACCGAGGCGGAACC